AAACCTTTTCACATAGGCGTATCAGTATAGTTGCCTTAAAAAAAATGTGTTTGCAAGATAAGGAAAAAAAGCTATGTATGTACATATATACAATTTATAAGGCTTCAAAATGCTTAAATAACTTTAAGTCGTCTCTAATTGCAGCATAATAATAATAATAGTAGCAGCATAAAACTGCAGTAAATTTTTGTTTTAGCTAGGTTTCTTATATGTACATACATACATATGCATGTATACATGTTTGTATTCATATACACACATCACGAATTGCATTAATTTAAGACGAGCACAAGTAATTAAGGCAATTCCAGCTCCAGAGCTGCTGGTAGGAATACCCGTAAACACAAGATAAAAGTAAAATAAGCAAATATTTTCTACACGGCACAAATATCAAAACAAAAATTTGCATATGCATAGAAATACATTTCTATTGCCAATGCATTTTTTATTAACTTATTTCCACAAAGATGCTTTCCAAATAAGATGCTTTGAACACGTCGGTAAAAGCAAAAATATGGAGGTATGTACAAATGCAGAAATGCTGGGGTTACACGTCCAGCCGTTGGCTTATACACCTGTAGTACACACGCATGCACATATGGTTTGTACATACATACATATGTATACATATGTATATGCACGCATGCAAATTATGTTGCAAATCACGCACGGGCCACCTTTGCTGATTGGTAGGAAGTGCTTGTGCAAAGTAGTACATACATATACTCGTTCATATGTAGGGTAATACGTATAGCGGCATGACTATGCATTTCCTCAAAGTTTACGATGAAATTCAAATTCAGGTTAGTGCGCGTTTTTCCCTGATTTGGTATTTTTTTTTATAAAAAAAAATCAACACCCAGATAATACAAGTGAAATATATCTATTTGTTGCGTTTTATACTAGCAGACACTTCCGTTATTTGGCAAATGTCACGCACAGATGAATGCTTCTTGCTTACAGCGCATTTATTTTTGTGTATTAAACACACATATTTTTTCTAACACACAAATTAGTTTGAAAAACTTCCAATAAAACGGCCCACATTAATTCAGTTAATATTTCACTTTATGCATGCACCAATTTAACTTTTCTTTTATCTTCATCTTATTTGTACATATGTATGACAGGGCACGTTTGATGGTAACGATGGCAAAAAGGGCGTTCAAATAGCCACTTCACTTAGTTTATCGATTACTGTTTCCTGTACGAGCATTGAACGATAACTGCAATGTGCATCCGCAATGTATATCCGCTGAAATGTCTGCCACTTCCACTTTGGGTAATTATCGATAACAGCGGTATACAACTAAAAACATCTGTTTACAGGTGATGGATGGGATTTGTTTTGTTGTGGTTCATGCATATGCACATACATGTCGCACACCGTCTTCAAAAGAGGTACAACTCGAAAATCAGATGTAATTAAAGGCCCACTTTGAATCAGTGAAACTGCCACTTTATTAAGAGCATTATTCCAACAGACAAAACTATCAATCCGCCTTAAGGGCCAGTTTTTCAGTACACGGTTAAATCCGACCGAGGTTTAAACTTAGTTTGCTGGTTTAAACCAAGATTAGCTGTTTAATTAAAACGCACTTTACGATATAAGTTTAAACTGACACTGAAAAACTGGCCCTTACAATAAGCAGCAGGTTCAAGTCGTACCTGAGCAAAGTGAATGAAGATGTGCCCAACGAGTACCCGGCATGCGAAGAGTCGCCACATGGCTCACGGCACCTCTTTGCATGCCACCGAAACCCACCCAGCTAACGCCCCTGTCCCTATGGACAGACCCTATTGAAGTTGCGCACTTCCAGGGCCGCCCTTTACCTGAGCCAAACGGCAACGAGCTGGGTTTAATAGCCGCTACAAAAACTACAACATCAGCACCCGTCATAAACAAATCAATGGCTTCTTCATACAATCTAGCTGTGTCTAGCAATGTGTGTAACTCTCGCAACCAGTAACTAAACTGCCGAGTCCAAGAAATATGTCACCAATCAAGCCACTGACTTTTGTGGCCCGAGGACGCATAGTATAGAAAACCCGGCGCCAAGATTCAACAATATAAACGGTTATGAATTGGATAAGTTACAGTAACAATACTCTACTGTAAAGTAATTTTGATTTTACACTTACAAAATCGGATGCCGATTTGCGCTAATTATTTTACATACTTCTATTATGTAGCAGCATCTATAGGAAATATTTAAATCAAATCGTTATGCATTTGTATTGACTGATGTTAATAAAGTAAAATGTATAAAGAAAAATTTCAACTCACCTGCATCCAATCAATAATTGCATTTTCTAACAGGTTTTCATTAATTTAATTCTTATAATCATTGCTTGAATTATTTTCATCGTCAACATATCTCTTCTCACATTTATTGCGGTATGTTTTTATGTAGCTCATTGGTGTACATATGTATGGATTAAGTATTGTAGTGGTGTCAATTATGTGGTTATATGTAGTTGTATGTATATGTACACACGCATGATTTTTATGTAATTATGTTATATTTTTTGGGGGATTTTTAAACGATTTACTGCATTGAATTGCACTTTTAGTTGTATTTCCTACGTTCAACTTATATTACATTGCTATAAAATTAAGATTTCATTTACATATCGACGACTGAGTGGAAGATCGCCCTATATCGGCTACCAGTTTGAAAATTCCGTGTCTCGAAAACGCCCTATTTCAGAATTTGGTTGAAGAACGCCCTGTCTCAGCAAATGACTCCAAAACGGCCCATCTCAGCTGTTGATATATAGAATTTATATGAAGATTGGGCGTTTTTAAACCAAGTTCTGTGATAGGGCATTCTTCAATCCTGAATTCTGAAATAGGGCGCTTTACACCTTTTGCTGAGATAGAGCGTTTTCGAACCGGCGGTCGAGATAGAGCGATCTTAAATCATTTAATTTTGCGCCGCATCTTCAAAGTCACCTTTTGCATGACTGTTAGAATGTCCTTTACACTTAGATCCGTTTTCTCAAGTGGAATTTTAAAATTTGTTGTAAGATAACTTTTAAAACCTACTTGAGAACACGGCACTTACTGAGTCAGTTATATTAAAATGGCGGTGTTTGATTGAAAGCAAATGCAGCCACTAAAAGTATGCCGTTCTTATGATGGCTCCAATTTGGTTCACAATTTTCATAAAATTTCAGCGTAAGTCTGCACTGAAGGTGAATTGTTATTACTTTTATTATATGTTGTATGTACATACGTACATATGCAGTAAGTCCCAACATACATACATATGTGCACAGCAAAGTCTTGACTTTTTTCGCAAACACTTACGCAAATTTATGCAAATTACCGATTCTGTTTGATAAATACAAACGTTTCAACTCAGGTGCCACTATAACTACTATGCAACGTTAGCAATCACTTATTTGCATAAAAGCCCAAGTTAATTTTACCACTTAATTAATAAATACACTTTTATCAAGAAGCACATATTTTCAACTACCGAGATTTGCCAAACTAATTAACTTCTTACAAAATGGCCGTCAAATGTTGGGTGTATATACAGAATTTGGTGATCGATGAAAGGAACAGTGTTAGTTATCGATAAACACGAAATAGATGGATAATCGGAAGCGGAAGAAATTATAAAAGGAAACAGAAGACAATATTGAGGTTATGAACATAACCTAATCAGCTTGCAAGTGCATATTGGGAAATTACAGTTTGCAGGTATGTATTTGATACTTTTGTATATCTCGATTTGTTTTCTTTTTTAACTACACATACAAAACTGTTGCAAAAGGCGCGTTTTGGACATTATATTGTTTTTTTTTTCTTTCAACAGCACTGGTTGCGTGAGTTTTGTCTTATTCTATGTATGCATGTATGCATGTACATATGTACATACATATACATACATATGCACATATACGTATAATAGACACATTATTTATTTGCTTCAAATTTTCTTTTTTTGTTTTAAGATTTTTCTTACCAAATACATATATGTATTTTTAATTTACTCCTAAAACATAACTAGACCTTTTAATACAAATTAAACTTATTTTTTTACACAGTTTTGAATTGCTTTTGTTTTTGTTAGCATAAAATTTTACTTCTATTTGCATATGCATATCGTCGTTTAAAGTACAAAACCGCGTATCGTCATTTTGCAAAAGCGCGCAACTTGCAACAATTTGCTGCCAAAAATTGGATTTGCTCACACAAGCTCTTGGCTCAATCCTCATCCATTCGTCCTGATATATACTAGCCAGAAATGCGAGCGCTTTATAAAAAAGAGAACCATTTTGAAATATGAGTACTCTTACTCACTAGAAAATAATTTATGCAACCTCAAATACGCGGTTTTACATTAACTTGATACGCGGCTTTGCATTTTGTTGATACGCGGTTTTGTACTTTAAACGACGATATGTTTTCTTGTTATGCAAAGTGACATTAAAAATTTTTAGAAAGTACTGCGAGAGTGCTTTCTTGCGGTGATACAAAATGCACGCCTAAAAGTATATTTCGTTTAAAAATATAGCTCATTAGTCAAAAATTAATTATGTACAAACGACGAGCTCGATATTTTTTTCTTATTTCATTTATATTTTTATAACCTTATAGTATTTATTTTTCTTATAAATTGCGGAAAAGTTAAGCTAATTAAAGTGTTCATAATATTATTGCGAGAAAAAATCGTAAAGTTCGATTGATTCAGTATGTTTTTATTTACAATTGTTGAAGTATCCATGTGTTAAACAGAGCATTTTCTTTTAAACAAAACGGTATTGCAGTGTTTGGTTGAGTAAAATTTTGTATGTAGGAAAATATTTATAAATCATTAAGAACTTATATAACTGTTGTTATGCGATGAGGTGTTATTAACTGGTTTGTAAAAATTGTAATTTAAAAATTAGGCGCAAACAATAATTTTAAGTTTCTTACACAACAAATTCGTAATCTAGTTCGAAAATCTACTTCCTTGTGATCGTACAACAAAAACAAACAAGTCTAATTTGTCTTACAATTCTTTTTTTTATTATTTTAACCTCGCTATAAGACTTAAGAGACTAAGAAAACCCAAAATTAAAGGTACATCGCGAAATTTGTTATGGAACAAAAAACTTCATCCAGTGCTAGTTAGTAAACAACATTACAAATTCAATCAGTTTAAGAGAATTGTACTTATAGTACACAAGAAAGTTGAGAAATCGGCAGAGTCTTCGCATTTCCATTAGCCCTTTGTTGCTTATAAGCCATAATTAAAAGTAAAAAAGAAATCAAACAATCTAAAACAGCATGTATTTACTTTTGTTCATCCGTTATTCGTAATGTGTTTTGGTTTTAGTCCTTTTTGGTCGGTTTTTTCGTTTTTTAATTAGCATCAAAATGTCCATGTAAACGCGAAAAATAACGTCTCAACCGAAATTGCTTTGCATAAGACTTATTATAATATAATAAAAATATTTATAATGTGTGCATGCAATGTGGCAATGAATTTTCAACTAAACACAATCTCATCTAAACCATAATTTTAAACGCAACGCATCGACACCATTTAAATAGTAACGAAACAAGCGTTTATCACGAACAAAGCCCAAGTTCTCATATAAACGCAACGCGGGTACATTACGCATTTCGGTCTCCAGCACAACTTCGTCGGCATTGTCAGCGAGCATGGCCTGCAAAATAGAAGAATTATATTTATTGTAGTAGAGCAAAAAACTCAGCAAGATTATTGTGTGTACCTCAATTGCCTTTTGCACCAGTGTTGTGCCGATTTTAAGTTTCCTATATTCCTTGCGCACCGCCAGCATAGCTATGTAGCCACGCCTAACATTCATATGCATGTCCAGTTTGCATACTATGGCACCAACATACTCATTACCATGCGCTGCCAAGAAACATAATTTCGGCCAATTGTATATGAAGTACCTATAGGTGTAAATGGAGTAAGGCTCCGACAATTCAGCCTGTATCAAACGCATTATGTCCTATAGACAAAATTAGATAAAGTTAATTACTGCATGCAGCACTATTTTATGGTACAAGACGTCAAATTGTATACCAACTCACATGCATTTGCAGCTCCGATTCATATTCCTTATACTCAATATGTACATTACTCAAATCTAATGCGGGTGCTGTATCCACTCCAGTTAGGGATGGCTCTTCTACCGACTCTTTCTCAGTATTAGTTTTATGGATAGTAATAGCTTGCTGTGCATTTTCTTCATCCTGATTGGCAGTGCTATTTGAATTGTGTATTGCAGTGTTTGTGTTAGCCTTTGTAGCGTTATTGAGTGGCGCTATAGTCGCCAACAATTGTTCCTGTTTTGGGCAGGTGTCTGACGCTGAAACTGCAGCTTTTTGCTCTAACGCCCTCGAAACTGCAGACGAAGTTAACACATCGGTTTTGATCAGTGCTTGTGTCAGCTCAGATTGCTTTTGAATCGCAATTGATGAACACTGTTGCTGTGACTCTTCGCAACGCAATTCATTACTTTGTTCATTAATGCAACCGTGGAAACCGTTTTTCAACTGCGCTTTAGCTACTTCCGCTCCATTGTTCACAGCTTCCGTAGGCCTTGAAATTACTGCTGATGATGGCTCATCGCTGGTTGGGTATGCCGCATCACTTTCATTTTCTAAATTATTTCGATTAGTTTTTTTACTCTTTGATTTTTTCAAAGCTCCACACTCTGGACTTTCGGGTGATGACTTATGCTGTGCGGCCTGCGTGTTTTGCGCAGCCACTGTGCTATTCGTGTTATCGCTTGCGGTTGTGTGATGCCCGTTTTGAACAGCATGGCTATCAACTGAACTGATGCATTTCTCCTTCACGCCATTCATTTGAATTCCATCGCCGGCAATGTGTAACTGTTGTTCTAATTTTTCCGTAATTCCATTGGCTGCGATCAAGGCTTCGCTACTAACGCTGCCTGCAACTTCAGGTAAGTTTTCACTTTGAGAACTGCCAGCGGAGCCCTTACCATTTGCCTTTTTATTCCTTTGCCTTTTCTTCGACTTTTGCGAAGCCGCAAGTTTTTGTTCTTCAACAATGGCACTTCCAGTATCTTCCATTGCTTTGAAAGGCCAAGATTTTACGTGTGCGATCCAAGTTACTTGGCTATTGAATAGCCAATGTGGTCAAATAGTTTCTTTGTTCTGTCCTTGCTTGCTATTTGTTGTTGCTCAATTTTTCAGACCGCTTCGTGTCGCCAATCGCCCCAGCACGAGTTTGACACTTCCTGCTTTGATCACTTGTTCTTTGCCTAGCCTATAGGGGGTGTAAGGGCAAGAAATTTTGTACTTTTCAATGAGACCGCAAAAACCATTACCTCAAAGATTTCAAGTCGACGACCCTGTGTAAAAATCTGTTGGCTACAGCCTTCACAACTTCCACTTCCTAGTCGTCTTCTTGTATGACTGGCTCAGTACTGAGTTTGCGAAGTCACCCGTCTCTGCCACTGCCTTCTTCACCTTAATTGCTAATGTCTATCCCCTGCCTTGCCTTTCTTTCGGCTGACTTCCACCAGAACAAACCCTTTATATATCGAAGCTCTTTCAGATTCTATTCCCACATGTCAGCTAACTATAAAATATATGCTTTGCTAATCCCTAAACCAGTTACATAAAATTTTTCGATTAAAACCACTCGCAATTTTGGTTTTTTCGTAAGTTCTTTAAAATTTTCACTTTCCTCGCGAGCTGAACGTGAAAGACGAGTCCTGTGCTGCCAGATGCTAAAAATATTAATCCTTCTAAATTCTGAAGCACATACATTTGTACGTCAAATTGGAATGTTTCAAGAAACATTACACTACTGTCCAATTATAATTGAGAAAATATTGCGGAATGAAGCCGCACTTATATATAAATTTTGGATTTAATGGGGATAATAAAACAAAGTTACACAAAATTAAATTACTTATTAGGGGTTTTGTCTGTACTTCGACATTGGAAAATATGGCAGCCCATCAGCAGGCGGTTTTGACAACTGGTAAACGAAAACAGATATGTTACCCTGTCTGATTGTTTTTAATTTCTTGCTTTATTATCAAATCGTTAAAGATGTGATAACCCAAACACAAAGGCTATAAATCTATAAGAAGGGAAAACTACTTAGATCTGCGTTATTTGATGTGCCCTGACTCAAAATATATTTAAACTGCTGGTATACTCTCAATTTAGAACACCCTGTATTCAGATACAAAATCAACCGCCACCTGACAGCAACAACCATTCTTTGACAGCTGAAATCATCCGCTGTTTTTATTCGGTGGCTTGTTATTTACAAATGTTTTTCGGATGTTAGTGAAATATTAATAAATATTTATGAAATATGTCCAAACCTAAGAAGTCACGAAAAAATAGAAGCACCGACGATGATGTACACTCCGAAAACAGCGACAGCGATATTCACAATTCTGAGGCAGAGTCAAGGCATCACGAGCACAAAAAAACTGCCAAAAGTGGCTTAAAACATTCAAGCAAGAAAAATCGATCCAGTAGCAGTAGCTCCAGTTCAACTTCTGCAAGTGAATCGTCAGATTCGTCTGAGGAGCCCAAGGCATCTAAACGGAAGGAGAATGATGGCAATAAACAACGGGAACGTAGTACTGGGCGGGTTGAACGAAAGCAGCGGCAACGCACGCGTAGCCGGGAGCGTGAAGAGCTGAGTAGTGGAGACGAGCCAAATGTTTCCAAATGGGACAGTCCTGAGCGGCGGGCACGGCAACGTAGCAGAAGTCGACAACGGCGAAAGCACAGCAGAGAGCGAGAAAGGAGTGAAGAACGTGATGCAGGACAGTCGCGGGGTGATCGTTATGAACGCGGAAATAGATCGCGGGGTGAATACGCAGGTAGAGAGCGTTTCCCTTACAGGCGTGATTACCACGAACGTTATGATAATAGAAATCACAATGAGCGATGGAGAGATGAACGATTTAAAAGGAGCGACCGTTACAACGATCGCAGGGAGTAAGTAACTTACATTTGTAACTACATACTATATAGATGCTAACGTACAATTTATCAAAATTTCTACTTAAGAAACAGTCGAAGTCCGCGACAACCTAGACCGCGTGGCAGATCGCCAGGAGACGACAGAAGTAAGCGTGAACCTAGAGATCACTCAAGAAAACAGCACTCGCCGTCAAGACGTGGACGTCCGCGGCGCAGAAATTCACGTGAAGACGATAGCAAAAATTATGAATGGGGAGGTAAAAGTGCAGCTGATAAGCACCATGGCTTATCGTCAAAAACAGAACCTGTTGAAAAAGAAAAACCCAATTTTGGCCTAAGTGGCGCGTTATTGGAAGACACGAATAAAGTTAATGGAGTAGTTGTCAAATATGCTGAACCACCAGAGGCACGAAAACCAAAACGCCGTTGGCGTTTATACCCATTCAAGGGGGAAACGGCACTACCAACACTGCACATACATAGACAAAGCTGCTTTTTGGTGGGACGAGATCGCAAAGTAGCTGATTTAGCTGTTGATCATCCTAGTTGTTCAAAGCAGCATGCAGCTTTACAATATCGGCTAGTGCCATTCGAACGCGAGGATGGCACACAAGGTAAACGTGTGCGGCTCTATCTTATTGATCTAGAATCGGCTAATGGCACATTTTTAAATAACAAGAAAATTGACCCGCGTAAATATTATGAGATAATGGAAAAGGATGTTATTAAATTTGGTTTTAGTACGCGGGAATATGTACTATTGCATGAGAATAGCAAAGAAGATCAAGAGGATGACGATGTATTTGTTAAGCCGGAACCGGAAGATATACCAGACGGACCCAATCCCTAAGTGAATTGTGACACCATCATGGAGATTTGCGATTTCATAGAAATGTAAGGGACATTGCATCATATATTAGTTATTACATATGTATATATGTGACGACTTTCCATTTAAAAGAATTTTTAATAATGTTTGCATGAAATAAGAAAACAAGTTTAATATTGTACATTAGAGGATTTCTTCTTTCAAATTATACCAAATTTAATGCCGGGCGTTTAGCGCTATTTAAGTTTTTGTTAGTTTTGGGTACGTTGAGCTAGAGAAAAAACGAAAAGTGGGCGTGGTTTTACTGATTTTCTGGTATACATTTTTAGGATGTAAAATTTAAAAGTTTTAAAGGGATGTATCTCGAAAATAAAGTGAGTCTCATTGGAGGGGTTAATAAAAACTTTAATTTAGTCTGTTCCAATAGCAGTCCGGTTTACAGGATTTAGTTAGAACTTACAGGAAGTCGTTCCTATTGACATAAAACCTGTAAGTGGGAACACATTTGAGAGAGTAACTGAGCAACTGTTCCTAGTCAGAAGTTACAGGATTTAGTCCGGAGATTTTTTTCCTGTAAGTTCATGAAAAGTGTCAAACGATCAGCTGATTTACATGTGCAAACAAAAACAGAAAGCGGTGAAAGCAAAGAACCTTATATTTGTTATAAAATGGAAGTAAACAACGAAATATTTAAATATGTATAGATTTTATTAATTATTTAGTGATATTTCAGCCAAATCAGTGTAGTGCCAATGACATGTAAACAAACCGTCTGACGTTTTTACAGGAAATAGTGCTTTTTGCGTTCCTATGCACTTCTGCATCTGTTCTCCTTTTACTCTCATTTGAGAGCGTAAAATTGTAGTTTGACAGTTCCACAGGTTTTAGTCCGAAGTTCAAAGGAACAGACTAAATATTTTATCCCAATGAGTGAAATATGCAAGAAAGTACGAAAACGCAAAACCAGCAAGAAGTTGCTAGTTTTATGAACAGCTGATTAATTTGTTATTTTCCGATGCAATTTTCTTAGAAAACTAGTGTTTTCCATCTTATTATATATTTAAATAGGTTTATTTTGTCAATTGCAACTTTAAAAGCGCCACTAACAATTATTTTCTTAATTAGTCTGTTCCAATAGCAGTCCGGTTTACAGGATTTAGTCAGAACTTACAGGAAGTCGTTCCTATTGACACAAAACCTGTAAGTGGGAACACATTTGAGAGAGTAAATGAGCAACTGTTCCTAGTCAGAAGTTACAGGATTTAGTCCGGAGATTTTTTTCCTGTAAGTTCATGAAAAGTGTCAAACGATCAGCTGATTTACATGTGCAAACAAAAACAGAAAGCAGTGAAAGCAAAGAAGCTTATATTTGTTAAAAAATGGAAGTAAACAACGAAATATTTGAATATGTATAAATTTTAATAATTATTTAGTGATATTTCAGCCAAATCGGTGTAGTACCAATGACATGTACACAAACCGTCTGACGTTTTTACAGGAAATAGTGCTTTTTGCGTTCCTATGCACTTCTGCAGCTGTTCTCCTTTTACTCTCATTTGAGAGCGTAAAATTGTAGTTTGACAGTTCCACAGGTTTTAGTCCGAAGTTCAAAGGAACAGACTAATTTATGAATACACATATGTGTACAAATTTTAAGAAGAGAATTTTATATACGTTCTCTGCTCTCGTTTATAGATTTACGTTCTTTGTTACCATCAATGCATTGAACTTATGGGAACAGTTTTATGGAAACTAAAGAACGTAAATCTACGTTCTTTGGTTCATCGGTTTTATTTCATACCCGGTGGTATGGCAACGCTATGACAGTGCTGCTCAATTTTCTATCTGTCAATCTTGCAAAAAGCCATGGTTAGGAATGAAAGTGGCAAAAATACATCGATGTATTTCTTTGATTCGATGCATCGAAATGTACATCGATATCTTTCGATACATCGAAGGGCAAACATCGATGGATCGATTTCCTTTCCATAGAATTTTTCAGATAATGATTCACAACAAAATATGTTATTAGCAAAATTGTACAAAATTCGAAATAACTTACAGCAAGTGAGCTAGTATTTTTTGGTGAAATTGAATTCTCCTTTCTGCACAATTGAAAAACTGAAATGACGTTTCAATGTACTACAGATGTTAGTTTTCGATAAGTAGACTATACATTAAATTAAAAATTTTTGACGCATCGTCGCTTTTCAACATCTCTAGCCATGGTAGGCGCGAACGTCTGCAATTGGTTGTGTTTTGTAATAGAGTTGTAAAACTATCGATAGTGCCACCAGCGATAGTTTTCTTGTTTCAGAAAGTCTAGGTTCAGACAGAGAAACTTTTGTCGCGGCAACTCGTTACTTGTGAGAGAGGGAGTGACACGGGAGGGGGAAGGGTACCGAGTTGCTCGTGGTCGGGCAACACGCTTTGTGCTCTCGTTCGTCTGAGTAATTCTAGTTGGCTGTTCACAGCTGACAACAACAATTGGTACAAAAGAATTGCTCTGTGTGAACGCGAAGGGCAACACCAAAGAGAAATTGCCGAAAATGCCGAAATATCTTGTGGTATGGCAACGCAATGCCAGTGCTGCACAATTTTCTAACTGTCATTCTTCCAAAAAGCCTTGATCCGCGCGAGCGTCTGCAATTTGTTAGGTGTTTTGTAAAATTTGTGTCCAGGAAAGTTTTTGTTAAAATACAGCCACAATCCAAAGCATCCTGGGAATTATTTCACATAATTCTTTGCTCAAAGCCAAATCTTGGTGCAAACCACAATCTTACCGAGTCCAGAATTTACCGTTGCTAGCCAAGTTTATTTTGCACGCTTATTTGCAAATACTTGTACGAACCAGAAGTTCTTCATACGGGATACGTAAGCCTCAGAGGAGGGATAATTAAAAATGCCAAAAAAACCTAAAACGAATGGCTTTATGATGTTCACTACAGAATGGAGATCGAAGTATGGTAAAAAACTATCATTGGCAGAAGCTACTGAAGAAGCCGGGAAAATATGGGGTGTAAGTAATTTTTTTTGATTCAATTAATATGTATGGATGTATGTACATTGATGCGCAGATTCTGTGCCAATGCAGTACCAGTGATGGTTGTAATAGCTTAGTGTAAAAAGTGGTTACGTTCATGGTGTAATACATTTTGGTTAGGTTTACTGATCGGGGGACATATGTTGGTGTATTTTACCAAAATTATCACGAATTTTCTCGTAAAACTTTTCGAGTATGTTATTAACAGGATAATACGATTTTATAAAAACGAGCACTTATAGAGCACTTATATGACTTATACTACTGAGTGGAAGCGCGACCCATCTCGGCAGTCAGTTTGAAAATGCTCTGTCGCAGAAAACTTTTCAAGAATGCTCTATGCCCTATCTTAGAATTTGTTTGAAGAACGCCCTATCTCAGAATTCGGTCCCGTATCTCAATTGAAAATATACCTACTCAAAATGTGCTGATATAGGGCATTTTTGAATCGGCAGCTGAGAGGCGTTTCTGATCCGAGTTATGAGAAAAGGCATTCTTCAATCAAATTCTAAGATAGAGCGTTCTTCCACCATATTCTGAAATATGACGTTATTGAAAAGTTTTCTGGGACGGGGCGTTTTCGACCTGGTTGCCGAGGTAGGTCGATCTTTCATTCAGGTGTCGAGTCGCCTTTTTCATATGTCTTTGGTCCACTTTCGCATCTAGAACAATAGTGGTGTTCACGTAATCAAAAATTTGCGTGGGGTGGGCAATGTGGTATTGTAATACATTAACCAACCTCTTGTTTACCACAATGGCCGATTTTCAAAACTTAATCGAATTCTTGTGGTCACTTCATATCTGTATTAGAACCCCGTTTTTTAGTCGTCACTTGTTAAGTTGATAACAAAGGTTGTTGGATTGCTAGAAATTATGATAGACTGTATACCACAATACCCGAAGTTTCTCTACTTCTTTTTAACAAACAAACCCAAATGGTTGTATTGCCTAAAGTGGCTATTAGACGTGGCAAGTACAAGTCCTTTTCAAAAGTCTGTCAAACTCAAGAATTTCCAAAAGAGATTATGGGAGCAGTTACATTTTATAGTGTAAAGTGACTTCGAAAGCAGTTTTTATTTCTGAAAATCAAACCTTCCTACACTAATTTTTGTCACGATGAGTGCATACTACTTCCAACTATGTTACCAGACATTTTAATGCTTACAAACAAATTCATAACCTGATAAATTTGTTAAAAATGCTAAAAAGTGCACATAACAGCCGGAAAATGTCAAATGTCTATTTAAATTGTTTATATGAGGAGAATTAATTAATTACAAGTATTTTTTTTATATCCGACCCAAAATTTATAACAATTCGCCAAAAATCGAGGCCCACGGAAATTTGCTAGTACAGCATGAGCAAGTTGAAACTATTTCTCGAAAGCGCTGACAGTAATTTCAGTTGAAGTTACACCTTGCAATTTTTATTTCCGAAAGTGATTTCTGAAAAATCAGGAAAGGAACTTTCTGGCTGTTTACACGGGAAATAAGACTTTCGCTTTCACATTTTGACAGAAAAATGCAAAAAAAGCGCTTGCATTGCTACTTTTAAACGCACTTTATCAGAATGGTGCTACCAGAAGTTCGAAAATTAAAGTCAGTAAAATACCGTACTCTTATTTCATAATAAACTCATAAAAAAAGCTCAAAAATGCGTTTCGGTTTTGGTAATTATAATGCGATTTTAAATTTTCATAAAAATTTTTGATTTATAAAGCACTTAAAGTATTATTTTAGTGAATTTCAACCAAGCCTTAACTGCAGTCTATTTGAAAAATGAAATTACAACTCGAAGAGTGTAATTCCACCTATTAAGCAGAAGAAAATTGAAGAAAGAAAACAAAAATTAAGAAATGGACCTTGCCAATCATCCCATTTTAAAATTCTTGGGACTTATCCGAGCTCTTAACTGCAGCTAAGCATTTGGTGGAAAAACTATTTATTTTATACCAGCATTTTTTTCTTGAGAGCTGCTAACTCTTTTCCATTTCTTGTATGTCATTTTATTTGAGTTTTTTGTTTTTCTTGAGTGCTGGAAATAGCCCTTAAATAATATTTGAAGAAAGTGAACATTTGTAATAAAATATCGCGTGCTTTTTTATTACAAATTTCAGCCTGCGGCGAATTTAAAAAATTTGAAATTTTTTTTCATACAATTTTTTGTTGTTGTATACATGATATGGGGGGGTTACACCTCATTTGTTTGATTTGTTTAAAATTTTCAAATGGATAAATATAAATAATAAATAAATATGAAATTTGAGCTTGATTAATATATTTTTTAAAACTTCACAGCACAAAAACCAAAACAAATCGATTTAATCGAGAACAAAATTTAGAAAAAATCACTTACATCAAAATTCTTTATGAAAATAAATATTAAAAAAAATTTTTTTTCTTGAAAAAGTTTTCACATACAAATTTTTTGATAAAAAAAATTAGTTTTTGAAAATATTCCACCTCAAAAAGAATTGAAAAAAAATTTCAATGGTAGCTCTGAGTATTGCGCAATATTTAAGTATAGTATTATGGGTACAATAATTACAGGTATTGTCTTCCCAGAGAGCGCATATTCCGATCTGCCTTAATTGAAAAACGTCATTGTTGCCCACACTAAAAGGTTTACTGCTAAGCAAAAGGGATATTTCCATACCCGATATACAATATGCATATGTACACGTAATTTTTTACAAAAAATAAAAAAAAATAAATTCAAAATTTGTATGGCTCACTTCATTTTGTAAAATTATAAAAATTAAATTGAGCGAAAAGAAAAGCAAAGCCAAATAAAAGAAATAGAATCACCGATGGAAATTGTAGCGAGAGATTTGGTGAATTTTGCAAGTTTAACTTCAAATTACTTAAAAACTACAAAAGATCTCGCGGTGGGATCTTCACTTTTTGAATCACACCACCTGCCACCCCTTGTTCTAGTACTCCAGGATTTAGTTCGGAAGATAGTACTGAAGGGAATATAAATGTGTGTACGGGAACGAATTCTGACCATTTCTGACCAAATAATGGAATACGAGAACAGGCTAATTAATTAGATATGCTTTCTTACTGCGTATCTACAGTCAATGACGGTGGAAGAGCGTGCCCCTTATAATGATCGGGCTCGGCAAGAACGTATGGGACAAAAATCTGGCAGACCTGCTGGGCCTCCTAAGTTAACCTGTACTGGTAAAGCCATTGAGCAAGTGGAAAAGGAACGGGCAGAGGCAGAGCAACGTGAGCATCAAATGAAACGAAATATAGAGATGACTGTGCGGAACTGTGTGAAGAATTGCCGTAAGCTAACAGGATTTTTTCTAAAAAATCATTGCATTTACAAGTCATATATAACGTTAATCTTTCTAGAATTGGAAACTCAATCATATTTCTTCATAATGGTTAATTATTTTGTGAAGTCCCTAAAGGGTGGTATTTATGTGCCCGCCGAGATACTCGTAGCTGAATATTCATTGAAGGATGGTGTATGCCGGAAATATCATACATTTATTAATCCAGGTATGATTGTGATATGCACACATACATATGCACTTACTTTAACAGTGCATATGTATAATCGTACATTGTACTTTTTTTTTTCAAGGCCCTAACATCTATGGTCTGCACTATGAGGCACAACATCATTCTGAAACTTCACACAAACTACCTTTGCCACCAAATGCTAAAGGCGAGTCTAATTTGGGTTTGATTTATAATAACGTAGTAGACTTTATACGCGATGAGAACACTGGAGAATATCCACCAATTTATACCCATCGCGATTCTATAACAATTGTTGAGTCGGTATTGGAATTTCTTAAATCTGATTTGAATGCAAATAGTGTTGAATTGAAGATATATTCCATACAATATCTTTTCTACATACTGAAAGAAGCCACCTCTGAGATGGGTGAAGTGGAGCAACCAAAATCGCACTACATAACGGATGCATATTTTGAGCGTGACTTTTTCGAATATCAAACTGGCATTGCCTGCACTGTGAGTTTTTGTTATATCTGCTCCTATGAGGCTACTAAATTGTTACTAATTTACAAATAATTTCTCTAATCAACAGTACCATGAAGATATTGACAAAAGCAAATATTGTACACAATCATGCGTTACACGTTGGGGTTTCATGTTCTCAGATTACATGTGTCGGGATATCGCTATTGATTTAATACCCGGACGTCATGTGCCAGAATCAACCAACTTAGCTGCTATTATAAATCCAGCACCAAGCACCTATGGTGACACTGAATCACATATTTCCGTTAATAGCGAAAGCACTTACGCAACCAAAGCAATTTCTGAGCACAAAGTTTATTATGATGACCACAAGACATTCATGTCGGCACGCTCCAATGCCACTGGTCGCTCTATAGATAAGTATGATACTAATGAATTTCCTAGTCTTGGTGCTGGTCCCTCGCGAAAGAAGCACGCAAGGGCTGTTTCACCGTCGCCCGCAAAGGCAACTCGTACTGATCACATCAGAACAATTGATATTGAATCAGCTGATGATTTAAATCCTTGGTCGTCACGTTCCAGAAATGTGCCACGCGAACCAGATACTTCGCACTTCGACATTGATTATACGCGCGATGATACAACTGATAATGAGACCACTGTCACTGGTTATGGACGTGGTAGAATGCGTATGAATCAATCTACGATTAGCAATGCAACAGCAGGTTCGGGACGTGGCAGGCTATTACATCGTTATGAGTAAAGTGAAAATTGAGATGCAGCAAGGTATACTTACATATGTACATTAAACCAATTGCTCATGAAAAGCAAAAAGTTTATCTCTCAAATTAAGAATCGTATATACAATTATTGTAGTA